TCTACGTTCACGCCCTCTCTCTCTCACGCCTACCTTGTACATCAGCCTTGCCCCCTCCCCCGGTCAGCCTTCCACACACTACCGAACCCATTGTAGGTGCCCAAACTACCGGGACGCCCCCCAACCCCCCCGTGACCACTCGGTCCGTTCCGAGGAAGAGGATGGTGGAGGGATTTCTTGGGATGAGTGCAAGGTGAGATAGGCGGGCTGTAAGTGTTGGGGGCTGAACTGAGATAGGGCGAGATTGGCAGGCGTGGGGGTCGGTTTGACTTTGTTCTCCATTCACATTTACATACACACCCTCCCCCCCCCCCCACGACCTGCGCGGGTCCCCGGAGGCCTTTTTAATGGGAGAGAGAGTGTTTCGGCGTTTTGCTCCAATGTGGGCGGAGTCGATCCAGCCTGGGATCCGAGGGTTCGGCAACTTGTCTCTTCTCCCTTTCATTATTTCCAAACACAAACGTATGATGGCATGCACAGGTGAATATTCTCAATCACGTTCATGGTGATCCCCCGGGGAGGGAGGGAGGCGGGGAGGGCGTGATGCAAGTACAGATACCATTGATCCGAAAGTGACTTTACTATGCGATATGAGTACACCGTGCCCAAAAAAACATTTACGCCAATCCATTCCCCATGCATACGTTTTGAATCCTGTGATTTGTTTTCTTGTGTGCCCTCTTTTTCCTGATTTCTAACGCGCCGTCTAAGCCTCGAGACACACATAATTAATGATTTTCCCTAGTAGTTCTTAACACTTCTAAACAAAAGATATACCGCCAGGGGAACAGGTAGCACGCGGAGATTGGGGGAGGGGGGGAAGGGGAGACGAGAGGCCGTAGTAGTCAAAGTAAGCAAGAGACGAAAAAGCTAATGCGTCTCAGCCCACGCGCGGAACCATTCCAAGGCCTCGGGGTTGGCGACGCTGGCGTTGGTCTTGACGTCCATGCCGGAGAGAATCTGCTTGACGGCTACCTCAATCTTCTTTCCGTTCCCCGTCTTGGGAATCCCGCCGCCAGCCTCCTCAATAACACCAGGAACATGCCTGGGACTCAACTCCCTCCGGATCACACTCTTGATGTTGCCCCTCAACTCGTCGTCGAACGCGCGGCCCGCGACGGGAACGACGAACAGACATACCGTCTCGTCGGCGTCCGTGGCGCGCCGGCGCCCGACGCAGACGGCATCCTCGACCTCGGCGGCGAAGAAGCGCGTGAGGATGTTGTAAATCTCCGCGGAGCCGAACCGTACGCCCGCGGGCTTGAGGACGCCGTCGGAGCGGCCGAGCATGACGAGCGAGCCCGTGGCCGGGTTGGGAATCTTGATGAAGTCGCCATGGTGCCATACCGCGCCCTGCACGCCGCAGACGTCGGCGAAGCGCTCGAAATAGGCGGCCTTGTACTTTGCGTCGCCGCCGGTGCCGAAGAAGGTTAGGGGCTGGCAGGGGAAGGGGCGGATGCAGATGAGGTCGCCTGGGTGGGTTGGGTCCGGGAGTGGTTCGCCCGAGAGGGAGTCGACGGCGCGGATGGCCATGCCGAGGCCCGCGCACTGGATTTCGCCGACGCGGACGGGGAGAAGGGGACAGGGGGCGCCGAAGAGGGAGATGATGTCTGTGCCGCCGGTGATGGAGGCGAGGTTTACCTTGGCGGGGAAGGCTTTGTAGACGAAGGAGAAGGTGGAGGGAGGTAAGGGGCTGGCGGTGGAGTAGATCGCCTCGAGGGCGGAGAGGTCGATGCCGGACTCGTTTACGGGGTAGACTGCGTTGGCCTCGAGGGCGGTGAGGTAGGCGGCCGAGGTGCCGAAGTGGGTGACGCGGAGGTCGGAGAGGAGGCGGGGGAGGGAGAGGTGGCCGTGGGGTTTGAAGGGGGAGCCGGAGTAGAGGACGAGGGTGGCGCCGACGGCGAGGGCGGAGACGGACCAGTGCCACATCATCCACGAGGTTGTGGTGTAGTAAAGCATGCGGGACTTTGCGGTGAGGGAGCCGTGGAGGGCGTGTTCCTTTTTGTGCTGGATGAGGGTGCCGAGGGCAGTGTGGACGATGGCCTTTGGCAGGCCGGTGGTGCCGCTGGAGTAGAGGATGTAGAGAGGATGGGAAGGGGGGAGCTGCTCAAACCTAAGAGGCTCATCGGGAGAGCTTGTTTTGGCATGTTAGCGGGGATGCAGTGGAGAGATTGCTGATGAGTTTGCTAGGCATTGGTGACTTACCCTTGCAGGAACGACTCGTACTCATCAACTGCAACTCCTGTTGCTCTCAGGCCGTCAATGGCAAGGTCGCATGCCACATTGTTGATGACAATCACGAGCTCGAGACCCTCCGGCATGAGGGCCTTTACAATCTCCTCCGTCTTGTCGGTGCTGCTCCACTCCTTGCCATTGTACACGGTGCCGTTGTCGGCGAAGAGGACCTTGGGCCCGATCTGAGCAAGGCGATCCAACACGGCACTGACGCCGTTGTCGGGGCTAATACCGGTCCAGATGGCGCCTACAGAGGCAGCAGCGAGAGCGGCAATGATGGCCTGGACGTGGTTCGACACGAAGCCTGCAATAATGTCGTTGGGCTTGACGCCGTGAGCCCGGAGGCCGGCGGCACATCGGCGGACGGCGTCTCGGAGCTCGGCCCATGTTGTGGAGACGGAGGGGCCGAGTTCGGTGGTGGTGATGGCCGCGACGGATGTGGGGTCGACAGCGACGTTGGCGGGGAAGAGCAGGTTCTCGGCAAAGTTGAGACGGGCTCCTGAGAAGAAGTCTGGACGCGGGTACATGGGCGCATTGAGCGGCAGGACCTAAGGGGGTTGGCCCATCGGGCCGGATCAGCTATTGGTTTGGGAAAATTGAAATTGAGGTGATCTTTGGAGGGGCAGCACGGGCGCCGGTATAGGAGGGGGAAGGGGTTGAGATGGGCAAACCGGCATTCCCATGGGCTAGACAATGGCTCATGGCATGACTCAATTGCTCGGGGATGATGGTCATGCAAAAGCTGTATGCCATGACCACATAGCTGTCCGCCTCACTCGAGGCAGTATCAAGGTGCTCGGTGGGCGTCCTGACGAGGGTTCAAGACACTGGTGAGGACCATGGATGGCATTGGCGACTTTGTTGGTGTCTCCCTCTGGCTGTTGCGCGCTGTCGTAGAGTTTGAGCCCGTTCTCTCAGACTGATGTCACACAAGCTCCTTCGCCTTTACCTTCTGCCTGCTACTTTCAAGAATGGCAGTCAAGGCGCGCCAGGCATGAGTAGGGCAAGTAGGGAATGAGGTTGAGTTGAGTTTGGGGTGAGTTGAGGAATAGCATTGGCCCAGCGTACCTTGTCGAACGGCTTAGAGGCGGTGATGCCCACAGAATGCCAGACCTCCTCCCAGAACTCTGCCACGTTTTCGACGGACCACTTGTAGAGACCGGGGTAGTCTGCCAGTTCAAGTCCATACTTTTGATTCACCCGGAGAAGAAACGCCCACATGGAAGTTGAGGTGGGGTCCGGGTGCCGCCAGAGCTCGTTGCGCGTGACACTGGTGATAGTCATGCTGGGCGGATTGGATGAATTGGAGGGAATTGAGACGATGAGAGACGGAAGAGGCAGTCGGTGCTCTCAAAATGGTACCAAGACGTTGGGTATCACGGCGACGATGGTGGTCAAGTTAAAAAGGGGGGAAGAAAATGTTTTCGAAAATTGTGTGCAGCAGCGCGCCAAAGTGAGAGTCGAGAGATTCCGGCCGGAGTGGAGGGAGAAGAGTTGGGCCGTCGCAATCCGAGGATGCAGTTCCGCAGGAAGATTCCGAAAAAGGGTTGAGGACGCAGCACCAGAACAATCTGCTGGACCGGAGTCCGGGGGTGGGGGTGGAATCTGTTGCACCGCACATCGGCGAGGGAGGGCAAGCAGCTCATCGTCAGCGTAGTCTGCTTGGTCCAATTTCCACATCAACTCTTCTTTTCTCAGATACTGTGTGTGACCAGCTGACTGTGCTTCCGTTTCGCATTGGAGCTCGGTCATGGCTCGTTGCGCGCCTGTTCTTGTCTTCGGAGAACCTTTGACGAACCTCGACATCTCAAACATCGCAGTTCATGGACGCTCTGCTGAGAACGAGGACCGTGGTGAACTGTGCTCTGCCTTAGCTAGGTACCCGTGGGACCATGGACAGTAGTCGTGCCGCTTGACGCTGTACCTGCATCAGGCAAAAGGGACTGGCACGACAGGCGAGTCTGTAGTGTAGTGTACGGAGGAAGCTCTAGAACTAACAACGCAACACTTGCAGATGCTCCCCACAGTCCAGCACATCGAGGCACATGAAGCTATGCAGGGCACACCTTGGCAAGGACCTTCAAGGCTTCAGGCACTTGAGCGAGGCGTTCATGGCATTGGAACACAGAGACTCGCCCATTCCGCTCTGTGGCTGGTGCACCAATGCGCCCCCTCCTCTCCCCTCCCCTTCGATGCGTCTCGTTGGACTCGATCAGTGTTGCGCTATCGCTGTCGCTTCCTATCGATAACGTTGTCCAAGCGGACCGGGAAGACGTCTCAGAACGGGACCCAATGCTGGGGAGAAGCCTGCAAGTCAACGGGCCTCAATCAAAGATGGTGCAGTGACAGCTCATACAACTCCACAATCCCACAGTCGAGGACCTTGTTACACAGGTAAACAAGCACTGCAGAGGGGAGATTGTATGAAATGTCATTGGTCGCACCCAAGTTTCCTAGTATCGTAATCTGGCGAAACTGCAACACGCGATTCGGCCATCGAAGAGATCGAGATGGCCAACTGATGTCACAAGGGCCTCGGGAGGATGACCGATATGCCGTGTGTTGCAGATGAGTCGATGACTGATATTGGAGGGTCGCGGAGAATACAAACGTGTAGCGAAAGAAGCAACACCGTATCGTCAAGCCGTTGATGGATATTCAAGTCTCAGATCAGATAGTCATTCGTGCTGTCGCATTTGGAGCTCTTATTAGGTACTTCACGTTGTGTCAAAAGTCAACGGCCGAAAAAAGCGAGACATGAGCTGCGCCTCTGGTTCGTTCGACCCATTGCCAGCTGGTCATCCGAGCGCCTTGGTTGCTTTTCTCTCTCCTTGCCTTTCGCAACGTCCTGCTTCCATCGCCAAAGTCGTGGGCGTCCTGTGCACGCAAAATATGGTTAGGCGATGGGGCCTCACGTAGGAACTGTTCAGCCAAGTGAGTGCCTTGACCTGCTGGGATCAAGTCTGCTGCTGAACCGTCGGTGAAGCCGACTGGCAGGGCAAACGATGCTCCATTATGTCCAAGGCACTAGTTGGACGAGGGTATTGACAACAGCATTGAGTTGGGCAGAGATGGGCCAAATAGCTGTGTGCATTGTATCGAATGCATTGCCGGAAAGACACGTCCAACGCAACTATTTTGGTGATAACGTCACTTTGACCCTTCCACGCAAGTCATCGGACGGCGTAAGGTGAGGAGGAGGGCTGTCGACAAGTATGGGAACAAGGGGGCTCCATGGTGAAGCGCTTCGCTGGCTCAGCAAGGCTGGCAGGCGACTCAACTTGGAACCATGGATAGGGCGGCGAGAGGTGAAGGTGAATTTTGACTGTTTGACCAAAGGCGGGCCGTTGAACGATGAATTGTGCGACGACAGGGTCCTGTAGTGGTAGCAATAGTCGGGGGATAACAGGTTAACGGCACTAGCCGGAACTTGGGTGCTCTTTAGCTCAGCTCTTCCCGTCATGCACAGCAGAGCTTGGGACGTGGAGGAGTGAAAGCCTCGCGGGATCTGCAAATGCTGGACTAGTGCAGGATACCGAGGGTTGCATTTTGATGACATCGTCGGGTAGGCGAAGAAGCGGATGACTATGCCTCGAAGCAATGCCAATGCTAATGGCGGCATCGCTTGAGGCTAGAGCTGTTGCGAACTCCAGAGCATCCGAGAGCGAAGCGGGTGATGGAGTCTTGGTCCTTGGAGGAGGGACGGTGACTGCAAAGAAAGAATTGTCCGATCATCAGTCATCGAGAGTCCGGTGCGTCCGTCTCGGCCGTGTCGTCCGGGCAGCCTGTCAGGCTTCGATTCGCCCCTCCCCCTTTTCCCGCGCGTGATCTGATGGTTGCTTCCTGCTTGGTGCTTGGTGCCAATGGTTGACTGGATGGGTGCCGAGTTCAGTAACGCGCCGGGGCCAGACGGGATTTGCCCAACAGCCGAGATCACATTGGTTGGGTGGATATAGTAGTGGATCAAAGATGCAGCAAACGTGGTTCGGCCAGAGCAAGGCAAGCCGCAAGCCGCAAACCGTAAAATGAGGTGAGTTATTAGTCGCGAAGACTGGCCGGAGCATAGCAGACAAGGTTGTGGATATCAGGCAGGGTACGGTGGTACGGAGTACGGATAGTGTCGTTGCTTGTAGAAGGGCCCGTAGAGGGGTCTGACTCTTGGGCATTGGGTGAAAATCCAAGAATAAGGACGACTAGAAGCCAAAAAACTTGTAAGCCTCGCTTGACTACCAGAGGCAAGCAGCATGTTAGGCATTGGCGGTTCGACCAGGGGGCCAAATTTTGGTGTGTGATATGTGCGTGTTCAAGAGAGCGATCATCGTGAGTCTGACAGTAGGAGTTCTAGGCGAGGTACAGATAGAAAGACAGGCCAATTGGAGGCAAGACAAGAAAGAAAGAAAGGACCGTGCAATAGAAAGAGGAACAGCGGACAACCCGGACGTGTCGGGAGGCCAGGGGTCAGAAGCGGGAAGAAAGAAAAAAAGACTCGTCGAGGTGTGCGAGAATGAGACTTGGGAGTCGATCCTCGAAATTGAAATGATACGCGCTAACGGGGAAGAGAGGAAGAAAAGTCACTCACATCGCGGCTTCCACCAAAGTTGCGCGCGGTGGGCAGAGAGCCCCATTAATCATCACACCAGGAGGGTGGGAAAGATACTTTGAGGCTGCCCTCTATTGTGTGCATTTCTAAAGTACCTTTTTTGAAAACATGCTGCCGGACTACCAAAGGTAAGTAAGGTCGTACAACCTGGAAGGTACGGATGCTACACAGTAAGGTACAGCCCGTCCACGCGGTAATTTTCCTCGCCGTCGTGGATCTCTCTGCATTATCCGTATTGTTTTTTTCTTCTTCTTTCCTCGTCAGGGTCATTACTTTTATTTCCCGACTTGTGCCCTCTTTCCTTTTCAGAGTTCTTCTCCTTCTTCCTCCTCTTCCCCCTTCCTTACTCTCCAAGCTCATATCACCCTGTGGTTCCTTCCTTTCATTCTCCGTCCTACCTTACCTTGGACTCTGGAGCTGCCTTCCCGAACAGCCCGACAGCAGACCAATCGCAGGCCTGTATCGATCGAGAAGAGAGAGGCCCAGACACCACTTCGACGCCACAGGTACCTCGTCACCCGCTTTTCGCCGTTGGGATACTCAGGCCACCAAGCAAGGTACCTTTCCAGGTTGCCTGTCTCAACTCCCAACACACTCGAGAAAAAAGTCACCTCACTTTCAAGGTCCTTACCTCATCACTGCGTATTGCGTACTCCGTACCTTACGAAGTACCTTACCTCACTGCTCACCAACGCGCCTCAAGTGCAGCAGCTGCAGCACCCACCCGTACCAATTTTACCTAAAATCACGGTCCAATCCCATCGCGCGACAAGCCGAAATCGACAATTTGCCTTTTCCTCTTTCGCTCCCGCCATCTCCAACAAATCTCCCTCCATCCTCCCGAGTGTCCATCCTCCTCAGTCCTCACTCCTTGCAGTTGCAGCCCCTTGCAGCTGTTACAAATTCTGCGAGACTTGCTCGGTTCACCACCTTTTGCCGTCTGCATCTTCTGTTTCTCAACGGGAAACCCCATTCTTCAGATTTGCACCAAAATCCGGAACTCTTCGCCCTGAGCCACTGCAGAGCCACGACCTCTTAATTGCATCCTCGTTGCTCTCCTGCGCCCCCCAAACCCCCTTTTTCGCTTTCGCCTCCTCAACTTCTTGCTTCTCTCAATTTTGCTCAATCGCAAAAAGCAACCAAGTCGCCAAAGAGAAAATAAGAATCCCTCGCACCTACACGACTGTATCTCCAACCTCCAACTTTCGGCCATTCAAGCAGCTGCTTACAGCCTTTCCTGGTGAGTACTTGACCGTTAATTCCATCATCATCATCATCATCACCTTTCCTCCAAAACAATCCAATCCGAGAACTCCGGCACCTCGATAGCCTCTGTTGCTCTCTCAAGCGTCTTGTTAGCGCTTCCTTTGTGTCTTGTTTCGTGCTTCTATCAAACCGCCGCAAGAGGTCGGAGGTGAGCTCTTGGCTATTCGCCATTCTAGCGCGTCCATTTTAGTGGTCGCCTACTCTGTCTCTGCGACCGCGGGTGCGCCACCGACACTCTGACCGACAATTTCCCTAATTCTCAAACCACCAACCGTTTTCGTTATCTCTTCCACAACATCCGGGCCTCCCGTCAGACTTGCATTTCGTGCTGACCGATCGTTTTTCTTCTTTGCAGCGCATCAATTCTCGGTTTCGTCAGGAAAACAGCTTCGTCCTCGTTGCATCCCTCAGTTCGGTCTCTCCCTGCTCCGTTGCAGTCTTCGAATACCCCTATTCCAATCGCCACCGAGTCGACCATAGACAGCCAAGCGCTTCTCAGCAATGCCCCGTAGAATTGCGAATCCCTTCTCCAACGCTCATTCACCCGCCATGCCGTTCTCCGAGAAGGAAAGGAGACCTTCTCGTTCCGGCAATCGCATCACCAACTTCTTCACCTCCCCCAAGGGCGTCAAGGATAAGGACCACCAAACAGCCCAGCAAGCTCTCCTCGCCATGCAGCAGCAAAATATCTCGTCCACCCAAATCACCCCTTCCACCATCTCCCTGCCTACAATCTCGCTCTCAACTGCTACCGCTGGCGAGCCCGACACCACTGAGCCCCCTACGACCCTCTTTTCGCCCCCCTCAGCTGTCGAGACGGAGAAGAAGAGGCGCTTCGATGCTCAATTCGGCCCTCTCCTTCACCCTACCCATCGATACGTGAGCAAGTCCAACGATGGCAAGCCCTTGGACCCGCCCATCATCGATGAGCCGCCCTACTACTACATCCTCACCACCTACATCAGCTACCTGCTTCTCATTCTCTTCGGTCATGCCCGCGACTTCTTTGGCAAGCGCTTCGGCGACAAGAAGCATTACCAGGCTCTCAAGCCCCAAAATGGATACGCTCCCTTGAACGAGGACTTTGACAACTTTTACGTTCGTCGTCTGAAAATGCGCATTGACGACTGCTTCGCACGACCCATCACCGGCGTTCCCGGCCGCTACATTACCCTCATGGATCGCGAGTCCAGAGACTACAACAGAACCTACAACTACACTGGCACACATACCGAGACATTGAACATGAGCTCTTACAACTACCTTGGTTTCGCGCAGTCAGAGGGCCCTTGTGCCGATGCTGTCGAGGAATGCGTCAAGAGATACTCTCTCAGCACTTGCAGTCCCCGCGCTGATGTCGGTACTTCGGACTTGGCTCTCGAGGTTGAGAAGGAAATCGCCAGCTTCGTCGGCAAGCCCGCTTCCATGGTCTTCTCCATGGGTTTCGTCACCAACGCCAGCTCATTCCCCGCTCTCGTCTCCAAGGGTTGCCTCATTCTCTCTGACGAGCTCAACCACGCTTCCATCAGAGTCGGTGCTCGTCTGTCCGGTGCAGTCATTTCATCCTTCAAGCACAACGATGTCGTCGATCTCGAGCGCAAGCTTCGTGAGGCCATTTCTCAGGGCCAGCCCCGCACCCACCGCCCTTGGAAGAAGATCCTGGTTGCCGTCGAAGGTCTGTACTCTATGGAGGGCACCATGTGCGATCTGCCCGGCGTCATGGCATTGAAGGACAAGTACAAGTTCTACCTCTTCATCGATGAGGCCCACAGCATTGGCGCCGTCGGACCCCGTGGCCGCGGTGTCTGCGACTACTACGGTATCGACCCCGCCCGCGTCGACATTCTCATGGGCACTCTTACCAAGTCTTTCGGTGCCAACGGTGGTTACGTCGCCGCTGACAAGAGCATCATCGACAAGCTCCGTAGCTCCAATGCCGCAACCACTCTTGGCGAGTCGCCTGCTCCTTCCGTCCTCATGCAGATTCTGGCCTCTCTCCGTCTGATTACCGGTGAGCTCTGCCCCGGCCAGGGTGCTGAGCGCCTGGAACGTATTGCCTTCAACTCTCGCTACCTCCGTCTTGGTCTTAAGCGCCTCGGTCTCATCGTCTACGGTCACGACGATTCCCCCATTATCCCCGTCATGCTCTACAACCCCGGAAAGATGCCCGCCTTCAGTCATGCTATGCTCAAGCGCAAGATTTCCGTCGTTATTGTCGGCTACCCCGCAACGCCTCTTATTAGCTCCCGTGTCCGATTCTGCGTCTCCTCAGCCCACAATAAGGAGGATCTTGACAGACTCTTGGCTGCCGTTGACGAGGTTGCCGATCAACTCCAGATCAGATTCTCCACCGGTATTGCTGGCGGTCAGGAGCCTCTCCCCGAAGGCATCACTCCCGAGACAGAAGCTGAGTGGCGCAAGGCCAACGGCACGGAGGGTATGTACAAGGCTCCCCGCTGGAAGCTCGAGGACGTCATCGCTCGTGGAGTCCAAGATGCCAAGCTGCGCCTTCGGTAAAGCAAGAGTCATTTCGAATTGGAGTTGGCAAAGAAAAGATTCACGACTGTTCGGACCTTTGGGTCTGGCGATTGACGAGACGCGGACTGGACGGAACGATGAGGCAACGTCTAGGGTGGAAGAGGGAGTTTGGTGCCCTATGTTCAATTCTGCCGGCTTCGACCTGTTTGCATGATACCTGTGATATCAACTGTCGAGTGTCTATTATACCTTGATTGGGGAGCCTGCATGGCCTTGGCGTTTTTGGGAGTAATGATCGGAACAGCGAACGAATTCATGTGCCACGGCACCGTACCAACATAACTAGTAGTATTAGGCTCTCAAGAGCTGAACAATATAGACGACAACTAAGGTACCTTAGAGTAATGCACATATCCTTCATTGGAGATTATATACCTTTTGCGGTGGGCGTGTCTGTTCTGAAGATGTCGAGGGGATGTCTGTCAGTCCTGTGATTGTGCCCTGTGTTGGATGTCCTAATGTTGGGTGCTCGGCACTGATGAGTGGACTTGGGATAGCATTGAAGTCATGGGGCAGTTGAACACTCAAACCTACAGCCGTAATCAGACAACCTGATGGTCCGCTTGGGGGATAGTCCGTACGATGTTGATGGGTGCGTGATCAATTTAACTGCCTCTCACTTGGTCAGGGGCCGGACGGAGGTGCCATCTCAAATATGCCGCACACGCACCGCAGGTGATTAGTTTTGCAGGCGTTCCTCCATAAGCCAATTTCAATGATCCACCGACAGCATTTGATTAGACGTCAGGTTCGCTCATTTGTACAGATGAGACAGGCAGTAGGGCAAGTGAATATACGAAAGAAAAAGGCGGCGAATATTCCGAAAGAAAGGCTCCACTACTGGAAGGTAGGTAGGTATATGAGAAAACTATTCTCGTCCTCCTAGCACCATCGGCTGAGGAGATTTCTGGCGCAGTAGTTGCGACTGATCACTTTCAACCACACGCAAATGGACTCGACCCCCGGCGGCTTAATTTATCTTGATGAGCTCTGGGTTCAAGTCGTCCTACGGGCATTTTGTATGTTTATCCCCTGGTGTATGCGAGGACTGTGGGTTGTGCTTGGATCGGAAGCTTTAAGATGGAGAGTTGTAATGAAGTACCTCAAAGCAATCAAAGATTAGAATCCATCCGTATTGATACTGATGTTACTAGCTAGATTCAGAATGATAGCAAGGGGCAAGATATACTCGATCAGAGCTAGAAAGGCTCCCTCTTGGGACTGTATTGGGGATGAGTTATTTTATATCTGCCGTGGACAAGCAGCTTGGTGGGAATACAAGCTCGATCCCTGCATGGCCAAGACTCAAGTGAGAGGATCTATCTTTACGTATAGGATCAGAAGATTTCCCAGGGGATCAAAAAGTTTCGTTGGAGCGAGGAAAGCAAAACATACTTGGGCCTACGCAATCGCAGTCCAAATCTCATTGAACGACAACATCAATTGACTCGTTGGCACGAATTCGACACTCAGTTCTGATGTTTCCCTACTCGCAATACCCGCCTTTGACTTGTGCTCGTATTTTACAGGTCGGCAGCCGTTTGCCGTGTGTATACCTGGCAAACTGATCTACTTGTACACCTCCCCTGGAAGATCCGCATGAAGCGTATTCCTCCCCTGAGTTACGAAGCAGCCAACCACCCTCCCATCTTTACCATTCTCTCACCCACGACAGAAAGTGAAGGCCCCCTACATCGGTTCCAATCACCCTTCCGAGCTAAATACCCATGGCCTTGAGATCAGCGCCGTAGCTCTCTGCTCACGAAGCCGAGAAACCAGCGCCGTCTTCCGCCATGAACATCCAGCTTCAGCAATTTATTTGCCGCACCTACAAAGCTGATATTAGTCTCTTCTTCCCCTTTACAGACCACATCTATCCAGGGGGGGGGGGTGTTTTTCTTCAAAACGTACTCGGTACGGGAGTTGCCGGTGGTCTGGCTGATGCACTCCGCAGGCCACTTGGAGCCACCGTCGCACTTGGAAGGGCATCCACCGGCGCCGAGGCCGCTGTCAATCACCTAATTGTCGAACCCAAAGTCAGTACTGGGGCCGAAGGTAACTACTAAAGACCATCGAGAGTAGGGGGTTAGGGGGTTGTGAACGTACACAGCAGTGGCTTCCGTCCTTGTACTTGCACTGGTACCAACCGGCGCAGGCCTCGGTGGTGGCGAAGAAGGCCAGGAAGGCGACGGCGGCGGAGATGATGCGGACCATTTTGAAGAAGATTGTGTTGGTGGTTTGGTGATAGTGGTGAAGATGGAGAGTAGTGTTGTATTGGAAGTGAAGCTGGTGTTGTCTCTGTGCTGATGATTGTCTGAGGAAAGGGGAAGAGGCAGCTGTATTTATATTCGATCGGGGCTCATAGAAGATGGGTATATCCCGCAAAGACGCCTCCTGCTCTCCTCAAAGTCGCCGGTTTGTTCGTCTGCCGGTATCTTCGAGAAGAAGCATCCGCCGCCCATTTCTGCGGTGGGATGCCCTTAAACTTTGGGTTATGCGTGTTAGAGGGACCGGTAATGAAGAGGTACAGAACTCAATCCTCATGAAATGTGTCAGTGATGGAGTCAAGTCCGGTGTCTTTCCGTCTCTATACTCCACATGACCTTTTCCAGCAAAAGCTCTACTCTCGTTGAAGGGTCCAGGTACATACAGCATTGAGTCAAAGAGATACGCATATGCCAGTATACACGACTAAAGGGTAATCACGTACAGAGATATTTGCAAAGGGTGAGCTTCTTTACGCACATTGCCTAAACAAATCTGAGAAACAAATACTCCATATGACTCCTTAGGCAGTTATCGTGAAGAGGCTTTAGCCTCTAGGACATCAGCTTGTCGGAGTCTCTGCCGCCTTCGCAAGAGGCTTAAGTCCGCGTTCCGGCTTGGTGTGAGGAAAACCTAGGATAGTACCCGGAAGCCTCCCACGTGACTTGTAAAGACGGTGAGTGCTGATGCTGAGTCAATGTAAATAGACCTTCATGCTGACTCCATCGTGAAGTCTTGGCGGATTACCAGGAGACGGGGCGGGGAGATGTTATTAGAGGGCGAGGCTCCGGTGAGACTACGCGTAGTTGGATCCAACCAATTTTCCAAGCGGCCCCCGAGTGCCCCGATAGCATGGGGTAACAGGGTACGGAAGGGATCTACAATTGAAGAGTGGAGTCTCCTTTGATTCTGGAAGGAGACTAAGTTAAGTTGACTCGAGCGGGTTCACGATACTGTCAAAGTACCTGGGGCCTTGGTATTGCTTAACTCTCCGGTCAAGCTTTTGTACTACAACGCCAATTTACAGTCAATATAATTAACAGCTTCCTGATCGACAATCGTTGATACTATTGCCACTCTTGGATTGACATGTTGTTCGGGGCAGGCAAAAAGGATGCATTAACCCCCCTCACAAACCTTCCTGTACAAGTCGAACAAAAATGGCCACCCCATCAACACCATCTCCCCCTTCAACCTCAACCCAAACCTTTTCTCCCTCAAACCTCGCCCTAGCCCCATCACGCCCACGATACACAACCGTCCCCCCAAGATCAACGACCACATCCCTCGCCCTCACAGGAACACCAACAACGCCCCTGGTGCCCCTCGCAGCCCACACCACAATCCTAAACTGCACCCCCTCACCCGTCCCAAAATCTTCCCACTCAACCCGGATCCCCTTCCCCTCGGGCGTCGGCACTACACCCCTCGCCCACTTCAACCCGCTCACCTCGGGAACAACACTCCACGTCCGGAACCCAGGCCCCGTAGGCCTCACCCCGAGAACGTGTCCGCTCATCAGCGGCACAACACCCGTAGACCACCCGTGCGCCATACTCGTGAACCCATCCTCGTACGGCCTCCCATCCGGCCCGCCAATCCCCTCCCAAAACGTCACCCCGGGATCCTGCCCCGCCATCCACCCGTACAACCTCCGCATCTCCTCCACCGCCGTCTCCCCGACCCCAGACGCGAACCGCGCCGCCATCTCAAAGTAGGAGATGAAGGCGTACACGCGCTGACTGAACCCCTGGCCCACAGCATCCGAGTCATAAAACGCGTTGCCGTAGGTCCGTGACGCGGCACCGGCGTAGTACGCTAGGATACCCCTCGCCGTACTCGTGTCCACCACGCCGCCCGCGAGAATGGCGAGACTATTCCCGTCCTGCGCGTGCGCCGCCACAAACTCCCCGTTCCCGTCCGTCCCGTCCCAGAACGCACCCCTCGCCGCGTCAAAGTTGCGTCTGGCCAGCGTGGAGGCGACATCGTCCGCTCTCGCTGCCCACCGCTCCGCGTCCCCTTCTTTTCCATCAATCTCTGCCGCCATCTCCGCGGCCCGGCGTAGGGCGAGGACGTAGAGCGCGTTATAGTACGTTACTGGCCCCTGTCTCGGCAGGAAAGCGTAGTCGCCGTAGCCCGAGGTGCCGTTCAGGCCCTTGGTCACGAGCCCGGTCTCCGGGTCCGTAACGGAGACGTACCATCCGTCGAGCACGGCGACGAGGTTGGCGTAGTAGGTTGAGATGTACTCCACGTCGCCCGTGTACCAGACGTAGTCGTGGCTGCAGACGACCCACCAGAGGGGGTAGTCGAAGAGGGGAAGAGTGTAGTTCATGCTTCACATCCCGTCCCAGGCATTAGTTCCCAGGTGACATGGCTAGCACAAGTAAAAAAAAGACGAAGGGAAGAAGATGGAAAAACTCACATGCTCGCCGGCGGAATCCACCCATCACTCCTCTGATGAACCGCCAAATCCACCAACACGTTCCTACTCGCCTCGCTCAACGTCCCCTTCCCGTGCGAAACATACCCCGTCAGCGCCGCGACCGCCAAATCCCCGACATACGGATCGCGATCCCGCTTCGGCGCGTCGTGCAGCACAACCTTGCCCTCGAGCGTCTCGCTCGCCGCGCCGCGGGGCTCCGCATCCTCGGCGCCGCGGAACACGTCGACGCACAGGTCGTTGGTGTACACCCCGTCGAACCACCACCGCGTCAGCTCCTCGTCGCTGCACTCGAACCAGCCCTTGAAGGTGTCGGGCGTGCCGTGGTAGGCCGAGAGCGCTAGCGAGACGGATGAGATGTTGACTTGGCCTTGCGGGGCTGTGTGCGGCGTGTCTGAGGGGAGGGCGTCAAGGTAGATGCGGAGGTAGCGGAAGCCATGGAGGCCGTCTGCGCAGACTTGGCCTTTGCTTCCTTCGTTGGGATACTGGCATCCGTGTTTCGCGGTCCAGGTGTAGGCGTCCTTGGCGACTGCGATTTGGTCGCTGCCGGGCGTGATTGTGTCACCGTTGTAGGAACGGGAGAAGTCGCTGACGTTGCTCAGGAACTGCAGCGTCTCGGAGAAGGCAAGTCTGATACCAGGCCTGCTGCTACTGCTGCTGCTATCCTCCAGGTCTTTTGTCTCATGGTTTTCGTGACCCACGTTTCCAGAAGTAGACGAAGGCGACGACCCAGCAAAGGAAATTGAAAGAATACCCACAGTGTTTTGTCCAAAGTCGACCGTCACGGAGGGGGCCTCATCTCCCGCCGAGCCACGAGTAAAGACCGTGTGCCCGCCTTCGCCGTTGATCAATCCCGACGGGTTGGAGACGTCGCCGCGCGTGAGGTCGGGAATCACCCGCGCAGGGTAAATCGTCCTGGACTCGCTTGCCCGAACATATTGGTGCCAGCTGGGCACATCCTCATGGCGAATAGACTCATCGCGCGGCGTGCTGCTGCTTCTCCAATCTGGATTTATGAGACCCCATTGGCCGGTTACGAATGCAAAGAGGCTTGTCCATAAATTCGGCATCACGGCTTCGTCATGAGTTGGGGGAGCGAGCTTGCTAATGACTTAGGCCGGCTGATGATGTATCTAATCAATGAGTGAGTGAGGGTACTATACAGGAAAGAGAAAATGAATGAGCAACGTGCTGTAATGAAATTGATGGGTGAGTAGGAGGTTGAGTGAACCTATGTATCGAGGAAGACTGAGGTCGGCGCGGGTGGGAATGCGGAATGCGGGGTCCCGCCCGGCGCTTCCCCAGATCGGATGATCTACGAACGGCAGTTGGCTGGAGGCTGAATCCACAACCCCGGCCCGTTGCGAATCGCGACCGACGACAAGAACTTGCATCTTTACCTTGGACCAGTATCAGTTCCACCGAGTCTATACTGCATGAAAAGGCAGGCTTTCAAGACCTGTGTTTCCGAGACATGAGTTGGCGGGGCCTCGAGTCACATTCATCTTCGCACATGTCATATTGTCGTCATCTTCACAGTTGCAACAAGGATTCCTGGTAGCTTCAAGACAGACAACCAAATGGTATTAGACAGCACTGCGTCTCATCTGCCTCTATCGCCTCAATGCCACACCAGCGGCGCGAAGAATGGCCCCAATGCAAAGTCTTCATGCCCATGCCACGACGCTTAGAATGAACATCGTGTCTCTAAACAAAAGGAAGAAGAGGAAAAAAAAAAACAAGGGTGTCGAGGTAGCAAAAGACAACCCCCCTGTGAAGACCTTGGTATGTCCACGCATCTCAAAAAGAAGTAATAACTGTGAAATGCATACGCGCGCGCAAAGTATCCATGGCGCTAAGGTTCATATCAGCAACCATGTTTCAAAGTGTCGTCCATCAATCCGTAAACCTTCTCAATCCCACCGCCTGTACCAGGACGCCGTCAAAAAGCCAAGAAAGGTATTTTACACTTTCGCTGTCTGTTAAACATGATGATCGTAAAGAGGACTTATACAGTGCCTCGAAGTCTTTGCTTGCGTGCTAGCCAGTCGCCAAGCATGTTGTCAAGTTGCTATTCAAAAGTCAGTCCGAAAACTCAGAGAACCTCCTCGTACATCTCGACTTACTGTTGTAATTTCCGCCAACTTGGCATTCTGTTCGCGGAACAAAGAGCCTGCGACGGGGTGTTCCGGCCCTGCAGGCGCCACATCGCTCTTGTCGTACACAACCACCAGCATATCTCGGATATCCGAGCTCGAATCGAAAAATGCCCGAAGCTTCGCATCATTCCAGCTGCTACCAGTGGTGCTGCCACCCGTGGACGTTGAGCTGGCAGTCATCGAATCTTGAGCACGATGTCTGCCTGCCTCCTCAGCGTCAATGAGCTCTGGCGATGGCGATGTCGAGTGGCCTTCTTGGCTGGAAGTATCCACCATGAGCGCAGGAGGGTTGTGCGAAGTGACCGGAGACACTTGCACGGGAGATTCGGAAAGCCTGTCCTTCTCGCGTTCCACAGCGGTGGGTTGAGGCTGAGGCTGAGGCTGTTGAGATTGCGTAGGAGTTATAGTCCTATCGGTCTGAGCGCTGGCAGCACTCAGGTTGCTCATGTAGCTGTCAGGGAACGCGCCAGGCAAAGGCCGTTCCAGTTTCTCTTCCTTGACAATCTGATGTGCCTGCTGCTGCACGGGTGGCTCGGCAGACTCAACCTCCTCCCCGGAAGAGTCAAAGTCATCAAGCTCAACTCGAGACTTCGCCTTGGTGACCTTTTGCGGCTTGGGTTCACTGTTACCACTCCTCGACGGGATGATCTTGGACAGGGTCGACTTTTCTTGGGGCGGCGACCGAGTCGTCTCAGGTGACTTAATCCGCTGCTGTTGGACAGAGGGTTCTGGATCC